ATCGAGGACCCGGTTGGAGGAAGCTCCACTGTCTTCAACCATGGCTGGCCTCCAGCCAGCTCACTTTCCGTGGCTAGTTCTCAGTCACGTGGCTACATGTACCTTCAAGGGACGGTAGGAAATGAAGCGCAGATGTGTACCCAGGAAACAAGGCATTATCTTGTAAAATTGAACATCGCCATATCTGTGACCTACATATTCCGTGACCTAGCATCGCTACTTTTGAGTATATCCTAAGGAAGCTCTTGCAAATGTATACCTGGTGACCATATACAAATATTCACAGCAGCACTATTCATAATAGCAAAAACGCTGGGAACAACCGAATGTTCATGAACTGGAATGTAATAAATATAATGAGATATTTCATGTATAACATAGATTTTAAATGTGTAGTGAAATGTACTACAGTCTCACAAAATGCATGAATAAATCTTAGTGTTACAGTGCTGAGTGAAAAAAAAACTAGTTGCAAAAGACTATACAGCATGTACCATTTTTATAAGATTCAAAATCAAGCAAAACTACATGGTATATTTAGGAATATATACATTGTGATAAAACTGTTAAGCAAGGGAACAAAAAACAAATCAGGAGCATGTTTATTGGTTGAGAGGTGGAGAAAGGAAATTATAGATAAGGAATATAGAAGAAATGTAGGAGGGGTATTTGAAGCAAAGTGGCTGAAAAGTTTTTTAGAATGTGTTAAAGATATGAATCCTCAAATTGAAGTAGAACATTGAGCCCTGAATAGAATCAATAAAGGTAAATTTATACCTAGACACATTGTAATAAAACAGAACTTCAAAGTCAAAGAAAAGTCTTAAATAAATGGTGCAAGGTGAGTAAAATACCTAAAAGAATTAGCAGTTAAACTAACAATAGATCTCAATAGCAACAATAGATGGGAATTGAAAACCAAAACAATGAGGTACCACTCTACACCTATTAGAATGGCTAAATTTTAAAATCTCACAGTAACCAAATGTTGGCAGTATTTAGAGTAATAGAAGCTCTCATTTATTTGTTGGTAAGGATTCAAAATGGCACAGCCACTTTGGAAGACAGTTTGGCAGTTTCTTTATATAAACACAAACTTGTATAACCTATCAATCACACTTCTAGGTATTTCCAACCGAGTAGAAAACATACACAAAAACTTGCATTCAAAGGTTTATAGCAGAATTATCCAACTTGGAAGCAACCAAGATGTCCTTAAATAGATGAATGGATAAACAAACTCTGGATGCATCCATGCAATGGAATATTACTCAGCATTAAAAAGTAATGAGCTATCTTTCCACTAAAAGACAAGGAGGAACATTAAATGCATATTACCGAGTGAAGGAAGCTAATCTGAATAGTTCCATATTGTATGATAACAGTTATATGAAGGAAAAGGCAAAACTATGGATATGTTAAAAAGTACAGTGGTTGCCAGGGTTTCATGGGAAAGGAGGGAAGGTGAAGCACAGGTGGTTTTTAGGGTGGTAAACTATTTTGTATGATACTATAATGGTAGATATATGTTATTATGCATTTGTCAACACCTAGAACTAACTCTATAATACAAAGAGTGACCTTAACATAAACTGTACTTAAGTTAATAGTGTATTAATATTAGTTTATTAATTGTAACAAATGAGCCACATTAATACAAAATGTCAATAATAGGAGAAACTGTAGCAAGATGAGGAGTGATATATGGGAACTTTATGTATTATCTGCTTATATTTTTAATTTTAAAAATGAGTGATAAGCAAATGTTGGAGATGTTAAAATCATGCATGTGCAAAACTGAAATATTCTACAAGATAAAATAACTTTAAAAATTGAAAAGGCAGAAAGAAATACCCTATAGTAAACATTGTAATCAATGATTAAAGAGTGACAGCTTTTTCTCTGAGATGGGAATGAGAAAAATATGTCTTTTATTATCTTTTATTATCATTGGTACTAGAGAAGATCATAACCACTTCAGTAGGCAAGAGAAATAAAAGGTATAATATTGGGAAGGAAGAAAGAAAATCGTTATTTACAAATGAATTGATTTTGTGTGTAGAAAATCATTAGAGTATTTAAATTTGGAAATGTTTCTAGATACAAGGTAAATATGTGAAAAGTGTTTTATATATATATATATATATATATGCAACAATTAGTTACATTTAAAAATTCAATTTTAATACAAAAGTAACAACATCAAATAACCAGGGGGGAAAAAATCTGAAAATGAGCAGAGTGTGTGTGGAAAACTACTAGACTTATTGTGAGAAATTTAAAAAGTCCTAACTAAATAATGGAACCTACCATGTTTCTGGATTGGAAGACTTAATATTGTAAAGATCTTAATTCTTCCCAAACATTCTATAAGTTCAGTGCAATCCCAGTAAAAATTTCATCAAGTTTTCTAGTAGAAATTGATATGCTGATTCTAAAACATAAGTGGAAATTCAGAGAACCAAGAATAGCCAAGAATAACCAAGGTAATCTTAATGAATAAGAAAAAAGTGGAAGGCCTTAGTTACCAGACATCAAGATTTATTATAAAGCTTTGTAATCAAAACAGGGTCTTACTGGCGCAAAAGTAGACAAAACAGACCAATGGAACAGAATACAAAGTCCAGGAGTACATCTACTTGTATATGTTGCCAAAAAACAAACTTGTCCTTGGTGTTCATCGCAGGAAAGAATTCAAGAACTCACCAAGTCAGCCAAGCAAGAAGTAGATTTATTAGAGAAGGGTAGTCCGCTCTTGAGATTGGGAGAGTGGGCAGGCTTGGAGAAGAGCAGCTGCCCTGAAGAGAAGTGGTGTCTGGGAATTTATTACACTTGAAATGAAAGGGTGGAATATTCAGGACTTAAGGGTTGCATCGTAGGCGTTCTCAGGTGGGTCCTGGCTGACTCCTTCCAGTCCGGAGGGGGCGTCTTTGTCCTTATTTGGCTCTCTTGGAACTGTCATGGTGCCACGGGGGTGAGGGGGTGGAGATTTTCCTTGGCTGCCATGCTAATACCATTATAATCTATTACAATCAGCTAAAATTCAGCTTACGGGGCAAGGTGGTGTCCTGATTCCCCCTCCGGCCACTGAAACCCCATCTGGCCGGATTCGAGTGGGCTTTTTCCCTAACTGCTACCCTCGCCTCTTCCTTCCTTTCTCCCAGCTCCCTTGTAGCCCTGTTCTTCCTGCCTACAGGAACATATATACCCGTGTGTGTGTGTGTTTATAACCAAGTTGCCATTGCGATGCTTTTCTAATGAAGGGTGAAGTTATCACATTGGAAGTATGATTTTACTGTACCATACTTGCTTCTCTGCCTGGTCCTTGGTCTTTTAGGGAGCTGACAGTAAATTGTGGCTCATTGTGGAATGGTCATACAGCACAGAGCACAGGCATTTGTGGCCGGGGGGCTTTTGGATGGGACAAGAAGTGTTCCCATAGAGGCATTGTACGTGTAGGTGTGCAGACAGCCTGAACTATGTTTATGTACATATATTTAAATACACATGTTCAGCCACCGCATTTTCCTATGTACAAAGTTCCATTGACTTTTCTAAGGTCATTGTAGCCCTTATGCGTCTATCCTTTGCTTTTCATTAGAAAATGGTTGGAGCCTGTGTTGTAGAATGGTGCCTGTGCTCACACTAGCTCGCGGTGCTGCTTGTGGGTGCGTTATCACAGGGTGCAACACTGGGGTTTTATTAAAATTCTTCCCCGAGCCCGTGGATTTTCAACTCACCACTGAGTGTTACTTTGAAGAATTTTGAAGGGCTTGTAGCTAGCTGCCTGTTTGCTATCTCACTCTCCTCCTCCTCCCACACACACAGGCACAGACTCTTCATGTGTACCTTCCAGGACTGTGAGACTCGAAATCCTATTATATCCACCCTTCTCGTAGAAAAGCTGTTCCTTGTTTTCAGCTGCACGGCACTGAGGCATGCACAGCTATTTGCAACTCATCTCCCCCATGGCTGGCCAGAAATTCGGGACCCACTCAGACCCCTGCATGACGGCTGCTGCTTCCTCTGGGGGCATTACCGATGTAAACTCAGTTTTTGTTTGCTTCTCTCTGTTCTTCTTTTCCCCATCTTTCCTATCTTCTGTGGCTTCTTGGCTTTTGCTCACAAAAGACTGGTCACTTACAGACCTTGCCAATTACTGAGTTCCATCTTTCTGCACTTGGACCAAATACATCACACTCAAACGGGTTTTATCATCGCGCTTCTCCTGAGCCTCATGTTATGTGAGGCTCAGGCAGCTGAGCCTGTTTGGTGCACCTGTCACCAAAGGAGGGGCTTGCACTGTGTTAGGGACATGAAAATTAGAAGGATTTAGTTCTCACCAGGCTTAGTGCCTGGGGTATTAGAGAAGTTGGTCTTCGAATAGAATAAGTTATGATCTACTGTCCCATGTCCATGCTTTAGAACAAGGGAAATAAAAGTTTAATGAGTTCTGTTTTAAGGGGATTTGTGTAGTGTGTCTAAAACAGCTTAGGAACGTGCATTTAATATTTCACAGTAGGGATGTAAAATTATAGCACATTTGAGTATTGCAAATTGAAGAATCTTGAAAAAAACTTATGCTGTATCCAGATGGTGCACTAGATTTTATCTTTCAAGCTATAATATCCTGAAATGTTAACACCACCTCATTTTTGTGCTTTTTCCCTTTCTTCCTAGAATATTTTCCTTCTTGGATATAGTAACTTTGTGCCGATGTGCACAGATTTCCAAGGTAGAGTATTAACCAGATTTTTAATTAGTAAATATCAAGTTTTATTAGCATAAGGATGAGTTTTAGTTTCAGTAAACAATTAAAAAGTCATCTTTTATATTTAACATAACACAATGTTATCATAATTACATATTTGATTATCAACTTAATGTGTATCAAGAATAAAAGCTTGAAAATACTGAGGTCGAATCAAAACTTTCTTTAACAGTCTCAATAAGTGTATCTTTTTCAACCCAATTCCTCCTCTTTTACTTCCACCTCTCAGGCCTGGAACATCTTAGCCCTGGATGGAAGCAACTGGCAAAGAATAGACCTTTTTAACTTTCAAACGGATGTAGAGGTAAGTTTACCTTGTTTTGGGCAAAAAGACTGTTTAAAAGATAAGTGAACTGCTTCCTCTTTCCTGCCTTTTTATTTTGATGCATTCAGATTTAATATTAAGGTGGAATAGAGAGGGAAAAACCCGGAAGGTATTTGTATACATCAAGAATAAAATTCTGCTTGTATTTTACTTTTGCTCTGTATCAGTAACAGGTTACTTTTCCCCCTTGTTCATATTTATAATCTGCTTTACCACTCAGCTTTTTAAAGCCTCGCACCTACATCCTTAACACCTGGTTCAATGTCCCAGCTCACACAGTCAGGCAGGAGGAGTATCTCTTAGCCTCATTTGTTCTATTCGGGTCTTCAGTTGGTTGGATGAAGCCCACTCACACTAAGGAGAGAGTCTGCTTAGTCTGCTGATTCAAATGTTCATCTCATCCTCACAGAGGGAAAACCCTCACCCTGAATAATGTTTAGCCAAATATCTGGGCACCCTGTAACCCAGTCAAGTTGACACATAAAATTAATCGTCACAAGATCACTCCTTTTCAACTTGGCATCCATATGCATCTCTTTAAACCACATTTAATCTCGAAACAACAAGTCTTCATTCCACCTAATGTGATACAGCTTTCCGGTATACAACCCAAAACACATTAACCCCGTCTTCAGAAGAGGAGGTCAAGTCCTTGAGCTCCTTGATATGCTGTGCCTTAGATACAATGAGGTAGCATAACAATACGTAAATACTATAATATAAAGTCAGTACATCTTACTTACCTTACATGGAAAGGGAACCAGAGAGGAAAGAGAAATATATTTGTTTTGTATATACACCAATGTGCATATTTATAACAAAATGGGGAGGAAATACCATGATAATTATAGTCCTCATTTCCATAACTGGTCCTGTGGTCATAGTTTTATTTATAACTACCTTCTGCCCGTTCTTTATTCCCTTTGTCTTCAGCAAGTACCTCAGCGGGTCTGGTTCTTTACCTGGTGGAGTGATGGAGTGACCCACACCCTCATTCCTGAAGTGTCTGGACCATTAGCAGCCCTGCCTGGATTGGCTTGTAGTTTTCCATCGACTTTAGTCACAGGGAATGCCAATCTATGGGATACCTAAGGGAGCCCCAGTATTCCAGACGTGTTCTTCCTTTCCTCATTTGTGGAGTAGCAGTCCATGAGATTGTTGTGAATAGTACATGAGCCGTAATAGCTACAAGAAAATGTTAAAATTGTGCGTGAAACAGTGGAAGTGCTGCATCAGTGTTCATTTTCTTTTCTCCCCCTCTGCCTGCCAGTACCCAGCCAAAGTTCCTCTTTCAGAACAAATGTATGTTTAAATAGGTGATTGCTAAAGAGGATGAGGGGACACCTTTATGGAATATTTTCGAGCTTTTAGAATGGTCATGTGTAGCTAAAATACAATTTCTTGTTTTAAGGCAGCATTGTTTTAGGTCTCTGCCCAGCAGCCACTGTTCCCATAGCTGATCTCAAAAAGCCTTGTAATTGGTGGAGCAGCTATGAGCCCTGGGTCTCTGGGGAGGTCTGACTCCAGGGTTAAGGCTTTCAAAAAGTAGTGTGCTTTTTTTTTTTTTTTAAACACTTAATGCTTTAGCTGAAAACATTTTTCAATGCTTGTAGCCTCTTATGCATCAGGGACAGAAGTGGGGTGTTGGAGGAATGTTCCCAAATCACTTCTATTACACCTGGAGAAATATATTCACTTCCTAAATTTCAGGTTATTATGCTGTTAGATATGCAGCATGAAAAACAAGATTTCTTTCCAACTTTGATTCAAGGGTCGAGTGGTAGAAAACATCTCAAAGCGGTGCGGTGGATTCCTGCGGAAGCTCAGCTTGCGAGGCTGCATTGGTGTTGGGGATTCCTCCTTGAAGTAAGTCAGGTCACTGGCAGTGACTCACTCACGTGGAAGCTCGTGGCTGACATCTGCATCAGCAGAAATAAACCAAGCATCTTATTTGCTTTTCTTCTGTGAAATTCTTCCTATGGTAATTTGTGTAGAGTAATGAGAGAACCGTGACTTTGGAGTCAGCAGGCCTGGATTAGAAACCGAGCTCCATTGTTGTTAGGGATGTGACCTTGGGAAGAATTATTTCACCTCGCTGAGTGTCCCGTCTCTCTATTGGAAAGTGAAGGCAGGGACAGCACCTGTATGGGAATGTCAAGAGTATCACATGAAATACCCTGTATGAAGTGCCTGGCACATAATTATAGTCTATTAGTTCACCTCTCCTATTCCCGTCGTCACTTTCCCCTCTTCCTAGTTTCCTTCTCATAATAGTGGCTACCTTTTTATATAAATTTTACTAATTAACAAAATAATTCTTTCAAAACCTTCCTTAGCACAACCTGGAATTTTGCTTGCTCATAATGAAATCTGATTATCCATTCATTTTAGTATAGTTAGCAGTATATTCTATCCAACCAAATGCTTGCCCACCTCTTTCTGGATAGCTCTTATTTATTGGAAGTATTATCCATCCATTGTTAAGGACATGTGCTTTGAACTTTTCTGGAGACTAGGCATAATTAAAACCTTGATGTCCTTATCCTTGTGGCCTCTAGTATTTTTTGAGGTTGGCTAATTAGGACACACACTGCCCCCTAGAACCTTGGGACAGACTTTGTCTCTTGCAGACTAGGCATTACTACAGTATACATCAGTCACAGACTGCCTTTAAGAACGTGCAGTATGTATAATAGTGTTTGCAAACAGTAGAATTTATAATTGAAACATCTGCTACCCCATTGCTAAGAAAATTGATTCATAACATTTTTTTTTTTTTTTAGCTGAGCCATCCTGCCACCTGTTGGCAGCTCAGCAGCAGCTCAGCTCAGGCTGGACTCGAACTGCTGTTGCTCAGAGCTCAAACTCTTGAGCGAGCTCTTAACCAACTGAGCCACTTGGCTGGCCCAATTCATAACATTTTTTAAGGATGAAAACATTCCCTTTAAATATTATGGAACAAGGTGATTATTTTTTAAATCAAGAAACTCAGATGATCAGACCAAATTTTCTGCTACTTCAAAAGCTTTGTAAACCAGTAGTGTAGTTTGATTCTATTTTAACAGGAAGCTTAAATATGCCAAATAGGTCCTAAGATAATTTATGATAGAGAACTTAAGTTTAAAGTGGTTCCATTAAGGAAAATACAATAAATGTGAAGATGTGTATTGTCAATGAGGAGTATCAAAGAAATATATTCTTATCTTGACAATTAGAATAATGCCACCTATACTAGCAAAACTATTCTATAAGGCTAAGAATGTTAATTGGTTTACCATAAGTTTTAGAGCAGAAATCTATATTAATATCGGTGTACATTTTTAATATGTGAGACCAGATTACTGTGAGAAATAACTTATCAAAATTATGACTCAGAAAGAATTTTGTTATGCCTCCAGTTTTTAATTATAATCACCTAGAATCAGCCTTGGCCTCCACTCGGGCCCTGCATGTGTATTGTTGCTTTGGTGGGAGAGGGGCTATTCATTTATAAATGTTTACTGAGCCCCTGCTATACCAAGCACTGATTTAGACAATGGAAACTTAGTAGTACTCAAAATAGATTAAAACCTTAGTAGTACTAGATCTTGCATGTATATTTTCAGTTACTCCTGCGCCATCATTATATATTAAGTCCTATGGATTTTTAACAGCTTTATTGAAATATAACTGAGATACAATAAATGGTACATACGAGTATTAGGTTGCTTGAAGTTGTTTCACAAGTCATTTATACTCTGTTCTTATTGTTTTGTCTCCATGTTTCATTTTGGATAGTTTCTATTTCTGTGACTTCAAGTTCACCAGTCATTTCTTCCACAGTGTCTAGTCTGCTGTTAGTCTGCTGTTCGTCTGCTGTTCATCAGCCATATGGTTTTCATATCTAATAGTTTAAGTTGGGGCTTTAAAAATATTTTTCATGTCTCTACATAACATGCTTTATAAACATAACATGTTTAATCTTATATCTTTTAATGCCTTTGCTATTTCTAATATCTGTCAATTCTGAGTCAGTTCTGATAGATTGAATTTTCTCCTCATTATGGATGTACTTTCCTTCTTTGAATTTTTTGTTCAATGCTAGGCATTGTAAATTTTACTTTGGGTGAAGATATTTTTGTATTCCTGTAAATGTTCTTGAGTCTTGTTCTGAAATGCAGTTGAGTTACTTGGATATAGTTCCTTTCAGATTTTGATTTTAAAATTTGTTATGTTGGACCAAGGTAGTATTTAGTCTAGGGCTAATTATACTCCACTCCTGAAGCAAGATCCTTCTCGGCACTCTATCCAGTACCCCACACATCATGGCACTTTTCACTGGTGGCTGGTGAGAGTGGGAACTGTTCCTGGCCCTGGCTGAGCTCTGGCTGTTGTTTGTTCCTCTATAATGCTTTTTGTTGATTCTTTGCCTGGCTTTGGGTAGTTTCCTCATATGCATGCTCTGATGAGCACTCTACTGAATTGTTGAGGGGAGCCCTGTGCAGATCTCTGAAGTTCTCTCTTTGTGAAGTTCACTCTTTTCTGATAATTCTAACTGTGTTGGTCAGACTTTTCGCTCCATATCCTCAACTCAAGGAGTCCATCAGGCTCCAGCTCAGTTCCCTTCCCTGCACCATGGCAGGGTAGGAGCAGATAAGAGTGACATCTGGTTTGAGGTCAGCTTTTGGAGATGTTGGGTACTGCATGGAAGAGTCAGGACTCAATCCTGTAAGATATGTTGAAGCTGTATTTTAGGAAAATGCAGATGACCTTGCTGAATATATTAAGTGGTAAGTGGCAAGTAAGGGATGTGTAATTTTCTGCCCTGGCCTTGCTGCCACTCACAAATCATGGAGGTAGTTGCCTTTCATGACTCGGTGTCTTCACCAGTAAGTGGATCATTCTCAATACTGATCAGCCCTATCCGTGGCCAGAGAAAGAGTCTCCAGAAAGACTCTAGGGTAACTAAGTGACAGCACGGCACAACACAAGGAAAGATTTGGCCCCCTTGCTTCCAACTGAATTTTCTGTGAAGGGAAGTTAACAGGGAGGCAGGCCTCCATTCTTAGATGACCACCAAGGTGTGGGTGAAGGAGTTACAACTGATCCAGTCGGTCTAGAGCTTGGCCTGGCACAGTGTGGTCCCCAGGGTAGCAGTACTGGCGTCACCTGGAAGCTTCTTACAAGTGCAGACTATCAAGCCATTTGCGTGCATCTACAATCAGAATCTGTATTGTGACCAGAACCTCAGCTGTTTCATGTGCACGTTCAAGTTTGAGGAGCACTAGTACCTATAGTGAGCAATAATATATTGTACACTGAAAAATTTGTTAAGACAATAGATCTCATGATAAGTGTGTTTGCACAATAAAATAAATTTTTAGAAATTTGAGGAGCACTGTTCTAAATGTGAATGTTTACACATGCCCTCTAGTGGCTACCCAGCAACATGCAAAGAGTTTTTAAATGTTTTCTCATTGTAGGACCTTCGCACAGAACTGCCGAAACATTGAACATTTAAACCTCAATGGGTGCACAAAAATTACTGACAGGTAAATAATGAAAACGACTTTGGTGACTTACTGGCCAGAGGGAGAGCGAGGGGAGAGAATCATGGTTGAAAATACCTTTAGTGCCTCTACTCTTTTTCAGCACGTGTTACAGCCTTAGCAGATTTTGTTCCAAGCTGAAACATCTGGATCTGACCTCCTGTGTGTCAATTACAAACAGCTCCTTAAAGGGGATCAGGTAAGAGTACCTGTTACTTGTGGTCAAGAGAAATGCCCAAAGCTGGGAACGTTTTGGTGTGTCTAAAACCTTTCTGATGTTCCCATTGGAGCAGGAAATAGGTGACTCAGGCCACAGAGGCTCTTTCTCCCCTGGATTGCTTGTGATTTCCTCAACTCCAAGTTGGTGATGAATTCTCCGTGGGATGGACTGCACATGTATAGTTTTGTTTCTTGTTCTCAGTGAGGGCTGCCGAAACCTGGAGTACCTGAACCTCTCTTGGTGTGATCAGATCACGAAGGATGGTATCGAAGCGCTGGTGCGAGGTTGCCGAGGCCTCAAAGCCCTGCTCCTGAGGGGCTGCACACAGGTACCACGGGGTCCGTGCAGCCGTGTTCATTGAATGTTAAGTATGGGCGCTTCAGTAGGGGGCTTGCTGGTGCATTTTCCTTGGTGCCCTGACCTGGGTCCATCCCGCTTTTGTTTTCTCCTCTTAGTTAGAAGACGAAGCTCTAAAACACATTCAGAATTACTGCCAGGAGCTCGTGAGCCTCAACTTGCAGTCCTGCTCGGTAAGTAACGGGCCCCCTGCTCCATGCCCTCCCCCTCGGGCATCTGCTGCAGGCAGGTGGGCTGATCACCACCCCTGAATTTTTTATCCCATGTCCTTATATCATCTACCCATTGGCCACAAGATGAAAGAACACCAATATAACCAAAAAGGGCAATACAAAGCCAGTGACATTTCCTCTTAAATAATATAGATCAGGGTCTGTTTTGGTTTATTTTGAGAGATCTGGAATGCTGTCACTGGCCGAGCAATTCAAGGTGAGGTCTCAGTGTCTTTTTTTTTTAACTTATAAACTGGGGATGATAACATCTATTTCTTACATTATCTCAGTAAATAAAAAGAAATCACAGATGGGAAAATGCTTTGAAAAATAAAGGGCATATGCAAGAGCAACGTGTATTTTTCATCAGAGTTTTAGCTTGTGAAAAGCTATGGTTCCTTCTCCACTGCCATTGTAAATATGGGTCATTGAAGAGGATGCCTGCTCCATCCTACTGGGTTCCTCAAGGGAAACATCGATTATGAGAAAAATAAGAGAAATCCCTTGCATTTGGTATTTAGTGAATGAATCGTAAATCTTTAGAGTCCTTGATGGTGGGAGATAAAAGAGAAACCAGCTTCTGGGCATGTAGTGACCTTATGGGCTTGCACTGTTCAAAAGTAGGACCGTGAATAGCATGGAGGATGGTGTTGGCAGATGACTTGAAGTATAATATAAATGTGCATGTTTATTTCTACATAAATTAGATGTAAATAAAAATATTATTTTGAATGTTCCTTTATCAATTTAGTAATTTATTTAATTTTGCTATTCTCTAAACATTTGAGGAAATACGTAGACACATATATGACTTATATGGTAGATGTCTACAGCGTTAATCTATAGAAATTCAACCACAAATTAATATGTCACTTAATCAGGCACATCTTACGAGCTCTCTATTTAATCTGATTTTTAATACAACTTTATTACATTTTCCTGAAAAAAGAAATCTGGGAAGGGAAATAGAATTTTAAAATATCACTCTTTATTAGTAATGCTAGAATATTTTTAAAGCTGTGCAGAGATAACATAACACATGTCTGTCCTGTACGTCACCTTATTTTAATTAGGATAAAATGCTAGTAACTGGCAACCCCAACTGATTAACCAACAGGAGACCCCACTTTTCTGCGGCTTTGTGTCAGCACGCTGGCACCTTCTGACTGCCCTGCCCGTTGTGTTTCCTCAGCGCATTACGGACGGAGGCGTGGTGCAGATCTGCAGGGGCTGCCACCGGCTGCAGGCCCTCTGCCTTTCTGGCTGCGGCAACCTCACAGACGCCTCTCTCACAGCCCTGGCTTTGAACTGCCCGAGACTTCAGTGAGTGTGCCGAGCCTTTTGCTTTGCAGTCTGGAGCCGGGCTGGGCCAACCAGGAGGGCTTCCTGTAGGAGAGGAGAGGCTTTGCCAGCTGGTGGGATAAGTGCTGGTGTGGGAGGCAGTGGCTGTGTTGCTGGCTTTTGTCTGATGGTTGGAGTGGGACAAGGTGTACTGCAGCTCATTTAGGGATGCTTGGGAGAGGACTAAACCGTTTGCCACCAGGGAATTGGAACTTTAATTTTTTTATTTTAAATTTTCAATTATAGTTGACAGTATTGTTTTATACTAGTGTCAGGTGTACAGCATAGTGGTTAGACATTCATAAAATTTACAAAGTGATTCCCCTTGACTATTCTAGTATCCACCTGACACCATACATAGTTATTACAGTATTCTTGACTATATTCTGTATGCTGTACTTCACATCCGCAGCCTGTTCTGTAACTACCAATGTGTACTTCTTAATCCCTTCACCTCTCGCACCCTGCCCCGCAGCTCTCCTCCCACCTGGCACCCATCAGCTTGGAACCTTAATGTCTTGGTGGACTGCACAACATTTGCCCACCTGACTTGCCTCACCTAGTATTACTTTGACATCAGTGGTCTGATAGTGAGCAGGATGACAGCCTCACATCCAAATGTCACCAGTTTCTCCTCTAAACCAGCTGCTAAAGGGCCAGAATGGGGGGGGGGGTCCCAGTCGCCTTATTTAGCATCTTCCCCTAGCAGGAAGAGAAGTTTTGTTTTGTTCTAACAGATAAGGATTTATTTTGGGATTCTCCACATAACACTGTGAATATTAAAACTTTAATAATGGCAACCAAATACTAATCATAGTTAACACCAATTGAACTCTGAGCTCTGTGTAAGGCACTTTTATCAGCATTATCTCATTTGATCCTCATCACATCTCTAGGAGGAGGTGCTATTCTTACTTGTTTTGCAGAGGAGAAGTGGAGACTCATAGAATATCACATAATTTGTCCTGGGTCACATGAGTAAGAAGTAAAACTAGAATTTGAACTTGTCAAGTTTGACTTCAGAACCAGCAGTCTTAACCCCTATAGGTAGAAAAAAGATACTTGCTTTATTTTTCTTTATTTACTGGTGAAACTAACCGATTTCTCCTGCTTATACCAGTTACGTATCTTTTAGGGGTTTTCTGTTTTTGTCTTTTACTCATTTTTCTTACAGTTGTATTAGGTAAGATTCTAGATAATTTTGATATTTCTAAATAGTAGAAGGAATCTGTGTGATTAAAACTGGTTAGAAAGGAGGTAAAAATTATTGCTATAAGGGAGTATTTAACTTAAAAAGGTTATTTATGCATCCATCCCTGTTAAGCATGGCTGTTGAGAATCAACTCTGTCTTTCATTGGCTGTAAATTTTTAAAATTTCCTTTAGGGTACCAGAATTTCAGTAAATGTAGTATATATCAAGATGATTTTGTTGAGTAAGAGTTGATTTTTATTGTGTTTAAAAGTCAACAAATACTGGAAAAATATTTTAAAACACCAGTAACAATGTTGTGCTGGTATTGTGGGGAGATTTCTGGATTTACTGTCCGCGTTTGGGGTGGGACTTTGGGACTTAGGGCAGGTCACATTGCTCCCTAAGCTTCATTCCCCTCATCTGTCCAGCGGGAACAGTATTTGCATTTACAATCCTCGGGGCTGTTACCAGAAGCCAGAGTGTGCGCTGTAAAGTGCGTGTTCCTATTGCTAACCAGCTGCTGCTTTTCTCTCCCCTGCACGCCTTATCCCAGGATTTTGGAGGCTGCCCGATGTTCCCATTTGACTGATGCAGGCTTTACACTTTTAGCTCGGGTAAGGTGGAGGTTTTAAAAAACAAAACCAAACTCGAGTTTACCTCCCTCATTCAAAATGATATGCAGTGGTTTTGGAGTGTGGAAAAAACTACCTTCAGAAATGACAGGCACCAAGTAGCATCGAGTCCTCGGGGTGTGTTTTGCATTTTCTCCAGTTGGCCAGAAAGCAGGGAGGTCCTGTAGAGGGTGGTGTGGCTGTCAGCAGGGACCACATGAGAGGAGCCCCTTGCCTGGATGGAGCTGCCCTTCGTCCTGCACAGACCCCAGCGCAGCCCCTCAGCAGCCGCCCCTTCTGGGCTGCGCTCTGCCTCTGCACCTCCTTCCACACTGGCCTCCTGCCTGAAACCCACGTCCTCATACACATTGCCTCCTACCCAACCCTCACCTGCCCACACTGTGGCTCAGTGCCCCCCCCCCCCAGGCCCTCCGAAACCTATTCTATGGCTCAAATTTATCTGCTGATATCTGTGAGCACGGGGAAGGTGTAGGCAACTACCTTTCGTAATGGAGGAATATGGGCCCGTACTCAGAGGAGCAGCGCCAGCGCCGGGTTGCTCTCACCACTGAGCATGTGGTGAAGGGTGTTATATGGACTCTTTCAGAATTGCCATGACCTGGAGAAGATGGACCTTGAAGAATGCGTCCTGGTGAGTGGGCCCATGACAGCCCTGCCCCTCAGCCACCGCACACAGCCAGGTGGAGCCAGACGCCCACTGGCTATTGTCGGGACCCTCCTGGCCCCAATGCAGGTGTCAGGGCTTGGGAACCAGTGAAGGCCATGGCGGTGGAGTGCATAAGCTTGGGGCTCTTCTCAGGCATCAGCTAGAGCTGCAGCTGAGAAATTTATCATAGCTCCATCTTCTGCCAAACAAAAAAAACACAACAGAAAACCCTCATATTTTGACAGAGCTTAAGAGAGGAATAAGTTTGCATGTCCACTGATAAGGTGACCACATAGAATCCTGGGGGCCCTCCTGGCATGCTCCCTCTTTGTCCTTTGTCCCTAGGCCCCCTTGGGGCACAGAGGAGAGACCAAAGAACAGCTTTGTGTCTCCAGGAGTGAGCAGAGTTGAGCTCGCTGGTGAAGAGGGGAGCTCCCAGCACAAGTGTGCTTGAGGTTTTCATTCTTGCGCACCTTCTGATTCTCATGTTCAGAAGTCAGAATTAGGTATTAGGTTCTAGTGTAGAAGCCACGCTGACACACTGTTTCTCTGCAGATAACCGACAGCACACTCGTCCAGCTCTCCATTCACTGTCCTAAGCTGCAAGCCCTGGTGAGTCTGAGCTTTGGCCACAGTAGTCACCTCTTAGGGATGAAGGGGCCCTCCTGCCACAGCAAGTATTGGGGTTTCCTTTCTGTAAAGGTTTCATTTCTGATTTCAAAGATCTAGTAGTTGGGCTAACTTGGGAGGCAGGGTATCTAAACGTTACTGTTTTCATTTTAGGATATGAACCTAATATAGGGACCCGTGTCCTTATCACTTCACATAAGCACATGTCCATCATCGGGTAGAGTGAAATTAGCAGGTTCAAGTGTTATAATCGAAGACGAAAAATTGAGGCAATCCTTGTGTTATATTTACATTACCTGTGTGTGTGTGTGTATACACATATATAAAGGAATTAGAATATATTGATAGACCTACAGTGAGCAGTGAAAAGTACCACTGACACTCATACACTTTTCACACCCAGCTATATGACCCACGAGCCTGGGGCAGGAAGGAGTCCCCATTACTGAGCAAGCCCACGGGCACTGTGCTGTCTACACCCGCGAGATAACGTTGTCTCACTTAATCCCATACACTATGGACACACCATTGTATTAGTGAAAAAACGGAGACTCAGAGCCATTAAGGAACTTGCCCAATTCCACGACCACTTGAAGGCCCCAGATGTCTTGGCCTCTGTGGAGTCTGGTCTTCCCAGCCCTGAGCTGCACAGCGGGGGTTTCCTAAGGCCGTTTTCTCTGTGTCTGTGAAACTTGTCAAGTTCAACATCAGTAAAGCTCTGTTTGGCCCTGAGTTCCTCTCCCCACCAGTTTTACGATTTTCCACATTCCCTCTAGATAAGTTTTCCCTCAGGCACAAGTGAAGCTGGGTTTTGGACACCTCTGGGAATTCTTTTTAAAAGAGTTTGAGGTCAGATTTCAGGCATTATTCAGGAACCTACCTGGATCCAGATTCCCTGACTAAACTGTTTCCATCTGTGTATTGCAGATAATTTTGTAGTTCTGATGTCTTTATTCTTAAATTGGTTCCGATCCAGTTTTCTAATTGGCAGAGCCTGTTACTCAGATATCCTTTCTCCTCTTATCCCCTCCACCCCTATGTCCCTGAGACCTTCTGCCGCTCAGCGATGTGGGGAAATTTTGGGGCCCCATGCTTTACTTCCTGCTTTGACCTCCTGCTCTGCTAACAGAGGGCCGTCTCCACCCTTCCCTGAGATACCCTAGACATGGACTCCCACCCCGTCATCAGCCTCACGTGAGGATGGAGGGACCTGAAGAGGGGTGACGCTGAGCACAGCCAGGACTTCCACCAGCTCCCTCATTCCTGCACTGCCTTCTGCCTGCTCAGGAGCGCAGCAGGGTCCATGCCCGTGACTTGTCAGGAATGCAGGGATTCTGGTGACTGAAAGTCTCTCCCAGCTTGTTCCCTGTATTTATACAAGCTACATCTAGAAAGGGGACTTAAGCTACAATACAACCAGAATTCCAAGATAAGAGCCCCCTCCAAAAAACCAAAACCAAAACCAAACCCATTTAGGACTATAAGCATAAAAGCAGGGAAACTGCAATTGAATCTAAGCCTAGCTTTGAAGATCCCTAGTAGCCATTGTGTTAGTTGCCTCCCGTATTCAGCGCAGTAACATGCTGTACAGGGTTGTACTCTAGGAACCATGTGCAGTAGGCTGTACCATCTAGGTTTGTGTAAATACACTGATGTTCACACAGTGACAAAATCGACGAACGACGCATTTTTCAGAATGTATCCCTATGGTTGAGCGGTGCATGACTGTAATTGAGATACTCATTTCCGATGTACAACGTAATGATTTGATATTCGGATATACTGCAAAATGATCACCACGTATAGTCAACACCTGTCCCCCCACCCCACACTGTTAAAAAATTTTTATTTTGTGATGAGAACAATGGAAATTTACTGAGTAACTTTCAAATATGCAATACCGTATTAACTATAGTCACCATGGTGTACATTACATCCTCATGACATTTATTTTGTAACTGGAAAATTACACCTTTTGACCCCCTTTACCCATTTCTCTCACCCCCTCCACTTCTGGCAACCACCAATCTATTCTCTGTGAGTTTTTTTTTTTTAATTCCATATATGTGAGATCATGTGATATTAATCTTTCTGTCTGACTTATTTCACACAGCATAATGCCCTCAAGGTCCATCCATGTTGTCACGAATGGCAAGATTTCTTGTTTATATCTGCTGTGTGTGACATTTTCTTTACCCATTTATCCTATGGTGGACACTTAGGTTATTTCCATGTCTTGGCTACTGTCAATGCTGCGGTGAACATGGGGGTGCATATATTTTTCAAATTGGTGTTCTCATTTTCTTTGGGTAAAAACCCAGGAGGAGAATTGCTGGATCATATAATAGTTCTATTTTTAATTTTTTGAAGAACCTCTTATTTTCAATACTAATTGCACAAATTTACATCCCCACCATTAATGCACAGAAGTTCCCTTTTCTCCACATCCTTACCAACACTTATTTCTTGTCTTTTTGATAATAGTGATTCTACAGATGTGTATGTTTATGCCAGTACAAGTACTGTTTTCATTACTATAGCTTTCTAATACAGTTTGAAGTCAGGGAGCCTGATGCTTTGTTCTTATTTCTCAAGATTGCTTTGACTTATCAGTGTCCTTTGTGGTTTCATATGAATTTTAGGATTTTTTTTTCCTATTTCTGTCAAAAAATGCCATTGGAATTTTAATAGGTTTTTCATTGACTCTGTAGATTCCTTTGGGTAGTACAGACATTTTAACAGTATTAATGCTTCTAGTTTATAAGCATAGAATTTGTGTTTTATTCAGTTTCTTTTGTCATGTTATAGTTTTCAGAGTACAGGTCTTGCTGCTCCTGGTTAAATTTATTTTTAGGTGTTCTTTTTCATGCAAATGTAAATGGGATTGTTTTCTTAATGTCTCTTTCTGGTAATTTGTTATTAGTGTACAGAAACACAACAGATATTTGTATATTGATTTTGTATCCTACAGCTTTACTGAATTCATTTGATCTAACAGCTTTTTTATGAAGTCTTTAGGATTTTTTATATATAATATGTCCTCTGTAAATAGTGACAGTTTTACTAATTCCACTCCAATTTGAATGCCTTTCCTTTCTTTTTCTTGCCTAATTGCTCTGGCTAGGGCTTCCAGTACTATGTTGAATAAAAGTGGTGAGTGGGCATCCTTGTCTTGTTCCTGATCTTAGAGGAAAAGCTTTTAGCTATTTACCATTGTGTACGATGTTAGCTGAGGGCTTGTCATATATGGCTTTTATTATGTTGCAGTATATTTCCTTTCTACCCGCTTTGTTCAGTTTTTATCATCAATGGATGTTGAATTTTATCAAATGCTTTTACTACATTTATTGAGATGATCATGGTTTTTATTCTTCATTGTTAGTGTGGTATATCACATTGATCTGCAGATGTTGAACCATCATTGCATCCCTGGAATAACTCCCTCTTAATCATGGTGTACGGTCCTTTTTACTGTGTTGAATTCAGTTTGCTAATACAGAGGGTGCCAAAAAAATGTATACACATTTTAAGAAAGGAAGAAACTATTGAAATCGTAATACTCAATATATACTGATAACAAAAGATGAATGCAAGTCACGTTTGACTTCTGCAATTACAAGAGGTGCTCAAAGTGGTTACCATCAGCGTCCAGACACTTCTGATTACGGCGAACTACTGCTTGAGTGTTGACCAAAGTGTTCACTTGTATGTATATATACATTTTTTGGGCACCCCTGGTATTTTGTTGAGGATTTTTGCATCTGTGTTCCTCAGAGGTAGTGGCCTGTGATTTTCTTCTTGTGGCGTCCTTGTCTGGTTTGCTGGCCTTGTAAAAATGAGTTTATGAGGGTTCCTTCCTCTTCTTTTTTGGAAGTTGAGGACTGGTATTAATTCCTTAAATGTTTGGTAGAATTTTTCAGTGAAGCTGTCTGGTCCTGGAGTTTTGTTTGTAGGGAGGCTTTTGATTACTGATTCAACGGCCCTACTATTGATTTTCAAATCATTACAGTCTTGGTCGTATGTTTCTAGGAATTTACCCATGTTTTTGAGGTTATCCAATTTGTTGGCGTATAATTGTTCTTAATGGTCTCATGATTTTGGGTATTTCTGTGGTATCAGTTTAATGTCTCCACTTTCATTTCTGATTTTACTTCAGCCCCTTATTTTTTTTCTTGGTGAATCTACGTAACGATTTGTCATTTTTGTGTATCTTTTCAACAAACCATCTCTTGGTTTCATTGATCTTTTCTATTGCCTTTTAGTTTATTTCTACTGTCATCTTTGTTATTTCCTTCCCTCTAACTTTGGGCTTCATTTGTTTTTTCTAGTTTCTTGAGGTGTAAGTTAGGTTTATGAGATTTTTTTTGTCTTGAGGTAGGCATTTATTACTATGAAATTCCCTCTTAGGACTCTTTTTGCTGCATCCCATAAATTTTGGAATGTTGTATTTCAATTTTCATTTCTCTCAAGGTATTTTTTATTTCCCTTTTGACTTATTTTGACCCATGGGTTCAGTAGCATATTGTTTAACCTCCACTTATTTGTGAGTTTTTGTTTTTGTAATCGATTTTGTGTATCCCATTTTATTTTTAATGGCTACCAGTAGTTGAGGGTATGCCAAGATATATCAGTGTTTCAAAGGGGAGGAGCTCAGTATGTAGATTTAGGCTGATTGGTGTCCCCTGGGTGATAGTCATAAAACACCAGGGCTCCAGATGAGTGTATTAACTGTCTGGGAGATACCAGTGGGTTGCAATGAGTCAGAGGGAGAAAATAGAGATGGCATGTGCTAGCCAATGTTCCCTGAGTTCATCTGTGGGCCTCTAGATGTGTGCCAAACTTGAAGCCTGCCCTGCAGGCCAAAGCTCCAGGACAAGCAAATAGGCCTTTTTCACACCAAGACTGGGGGTGTGAATCAGTCTACTGTCTGTAAAGTGCCTTGTGTGTGGTAGCTTACCAAGAACTCTGATTGTTGAAGTCCCATGGAACCCTGACCACCATAGCCAGGTGATCAAAGAGTACACCTGGGCAGCAGCTGCAAAACTGGTGCAACCAAAGTATAATATAAACCTGGACAGCAGGCGCATGTAAGAGCTCCCCCAGGAGATACTGGCGTTCTCTAGTACACCAGAGAGGGGAGGTCAGAGATGGGGCCTGCCCTCCAAGTCTTTAGCAAGGATTCAAGTCAGCCCTTTATCCTTTCAGAGAAAAGACTGAGCTTTCTGTGTTTGCTGTCTCTTAGTGTGCCCTGAGGTGGCAGCTGTTTAAGAAGTCTTTCTCTGTTGGTTCCAGTCCTGTGAGACCTATGAGCATAGACCCCACTGGCCACCTGAGCCAAGAGATGTCCCCTGGCAAAAGCCACAATAACTGGGGCACCAGATGTAAAACCAGGACACCAGGCATGTGTAAAATGTCCTCTCCAAGAGATAATGGTGCTCTGCAGAGTGCAGAGATGGTGCCCACTGGCTGGAGAGGCAGATGGAGAGAGCACAGGGATGGCTGGCACCCACCAGGAAAGAAAAAGGGGGAAAAAACCCTATGTTAAAAGAAAAAAAAGGCACCCTTTGGCTTTAGCAAGGCAGAAGGCAGGACTGCACAAAGATGGTGCCCACCAGTCTCCATCACCAGAGTACCCAGAAGAGCCCCAATGGATGTCAGTTCAGATGACTGCCCTTCAGGCTGGCACTCTAAGACAAGGAGCCGCTCCCACACACGTCCAGGTGCCCGTTGATTGGCTGCTTCTGTGCTGGGGCCTGGGGTGGACGCGTCTGACTGTGCGAGCCCTTTAAGAATGGTTTCTCAGACTCCTAGTCTTGTGAACTGTGGGTTTTCAAAGCTAGTTCTTTTGGGTGCTTGTCTCTCAGGTATAGGTCTTAAAAGTTGGGGGTGCCCAACGGTGGGGTTTAAACCCTTTGTTCCTCAGGGATACACTCTGGGTTTGGGGTTCCCTTCGACTGTGGGGTGTATGGTGAGGTTGTGTCCCAGCGTCTCCTATCTACTTTGACACGGGCCTTCTGTTACTTGCCCAGAGTGTAGGAGGCGCTCAGCCAGCTTTAGGTTTTGTCAGGGAAAGTTGTTCCACATGTAGCTGTTGGTTGTTCACGGGTGAGAAGGCGAGGTCAGGATCCTCTTACGTCGCCTCTTGAACCAGACCATCCCCTAAGATTTTGATTTCCGTTTTAAAGTCGGAAAGACTTTAAACCACTCGCTACCCAGCTGCAGCAAATCCACAGCCAAAGGGCCCAAGGCTGTTTGATGCTCCTGTTAATAAACGGCTGCTCCAGGATGCTGCACAGGCCAGCTTTCCTGCCCTGCCCAGGCCATGAGCCTTGGAATGAGGGGTCTTGCAAACATGTTTTTCCCCATTCCAGAGTCTGTCCCACTGTGAGCTCATCACAGATGATGGAATTCTGCACCTGAGCAACAGCACCTGTGGCCACGAGAAGCTGCGGGTACTGGAATTGGACAACTGCCTGCTCATCACCGATGTGGCCCTCGAACACCTGGAGAACTGCCGTGGCCTGGAGCGCCTGGAGCTGTATGACTGTCAGCAGGTTACGCGCGCAGGCATCAAGCGGATGCGGGTAAGTGTTGGGCAGGAGTCAGTACACATGGCAGTTTCTAAGCGAGCAGTGAATACATCCTGTCCTAAACCACTGGGTACGAAACTTGTTACTCAAGTGTCTCCTTAGACTTCTGTAGAGTCTCCTTATTAGACCCCACACTGGAAGATTCGGCTTCCAGAATAGGATCCACATGGTCTGGTGATCAGCACACCCTTAATAAGGAAAGGGGCTTGAGGTCATTGCCAGTAAGAGGTAGAACGTGGTCTTGGCTAATTTCCAGGTGAGAGGGCCTAATAGAAGGTAGCTTTCTTTCCCCACTTAGTTCACCTACCTTGTTTTTTTTTTTTTTAAGATTTTATTGGGAAATTGGGGTAGGGGAACAGCATTGGGGAATTGGAACAGACAAGTTGGTTTCCTGTTGTTCTTCAGTCTAGTTGTGGAGGATGTCGCTTTACTGGCCCATCTTGGTATTATCATTGTGCTCTTCCTGGCTGAGGCACATTGGTCACCAGCCACTGGCCGGCCACTCACGGCAGCTCACAGCAGCTGCCGGCCACTCATAGTAGCTTACGGCAGCCCACGGCAGCCTACACAGTTGCCCGCGACTCGTGGCAGCGCAGCTCCAGGTCGACCTATCTTAACTCCAGGTTCACCATCTTAACTGTAGAGGGTGCAGTGTCACCGGCCCTCATATGGAATCCAAACCGGGGTCCTGCTGCTCAGAGCTGGCATCCCAAGCCAACTCTTAACCAATGCGCCACTCAGCCGGCCTTCTTGTTTGCTTGAATATGCTTTAAGTTATACCCCAAAGCAGCACCAGGATGCTTCCGATGTCGAGAATTCCACTCATTCTGCACAGGGCAAGCGACAACCCCTGGGCAGAAATATTAAGTTTCCCTTTGTCTTTAGGGAATGTGTTATATAAACATGAGAAGCTCTAGCCTACCCCAGACATTCTTTTTGAACTATTTGCCTAAAGTGAAGCCCATTTCACATGGAGTTCTATGGGCTTTCCTAGGATTATGCCTGTAATCCTAAAAATAGCAGTGTAAAGGTTATTCCTCTTTTTATTTCCATTTCCAGGCTCAGCTCCCTCATGTCAAAGTCCATGCCTACTTCGCGCCTGTCACACCACCAACAGCAGTGGGAGGAAGTGGACATCGGCTGTGTAGGTGTTGTGTCATTCTCTGACAGCAGCTGCCCAGGCCCGAGGCATGAAGAGGTGTCCCTTCCTCCAGAGAAGACCGAGTCTTCCTGAACTTCTCCACTGTCACCGCAATCTGTTGATTCTCCATTGGGAAAGGCATTTACAGGTAAAAGACTTCCGTAGGGATTGCAGTAACTCTGGTGATAGTTTTCACCTTTATCCTGCTGTGATGCAATCAAATCAAAGCCTTGTGTCAGTGAACACATGGCAAGAGTGGTCTCAGTGCATCCAGGACCATGCAAGAAACCCAATTGCTTGAGAGGCGGGTGCCTTCCTAGGTACAAAAGTTCTGCCCTCGGCTTTGTCAGCATTCCTGCAACAGACCATCAGTGTTAGCACAAATTGAGCAGAAAAAATAAGCTACTGATTTTCTATCTGGTACTTAAGACAATGGCCTACTTTAATTCACAATTCCATTTTAATTAGCAGGACTTTTCCACTTTGAAAATTAAACAGCAACTTTATCAAAGTGACTGTACTGCAAATTCATAATACCTGTTAGTTTCCTATATAGAGACTTATGTGGAAGGCAAGTTAATAGGTTTCCATGAGACACCAAAGAAATGAGGACTCTAAACTGGGTGGAGCAGGGTCTTCACCTTTGTTTCTGTCAGCTTGTCACATAGATTTTTGGGGACCAAAACCAAAAACTAAACACAATCAACTCAGAGTTTGTGTTGCCTGATTGGAAATTATAAGCTCTGGCGTATGCTACAGCACACAATGACATTTTATTATAGGAGAAAAGTTAATCATGTCATATCTCACAAAATTTGGGGGACCTTAAAGAAATAGCATTAAGGCTTAAGTTATCTATCATATAATCAATTAAAAATAATGAATGGATGCATGTAGAATGGGTGTGATTTTTTTTCCAAGTTTATTTTAAAATCTTAGAAATCAAGTTACACCAGAACTATTCAAAAGTTACACACTTAAAACTCAGATCAGTAACGTGTTGGCACCTTTTTAGACGCAATATAAAAATGAATACACCATTGTAATGCTTAAGTCATTGAGGGTTTTATTGCTATAATCTATGGCAGATAATCTGAGCAAAACTATTTTCCAAATTCAGACCTTCCTAATGTTACCTAAAATCTGCCAAGATGATGTTGTTTCTGCTTGTGCTGTCCACATTTGCGATCTTTATTAAGGTCAGGAACTTGTTGTGACTTTCATTGTGAATGTGTGTTAATGGTAGCTCACACTTCCTAGCAACCACTCCCTGAACTGAAGAGTCCAGAGCTTAGGAGAAGCTGAAGTGAAACAGCACAAACAAGGTATTTTCCCCATGCCGAGCAATACTTCTAGTACACAGACAGTTTTAGAAGCACTTAGGATACAGTGCCTCAGCTGCATTCTAGGAAGAGAAGGCAGATCCATATACAATCCCATAAATCAATTGAACAGGATTGTCAGAATAAGCATAAAAGTCCTGATGATTTTATTGCCTTATGATATACTCCAGTATTCACTAAAAATTGTGTATATCATAGCAGTTATTTCAATATACATTTGCACCACTTTGGGGGGGGGGGAATGAGTGATGCACGATGCTGTTTAAGTAAAAGAAACATATAACACAGACGTGCTTCAGCGATTATGAATTATAGTTTCTATTTTATGTAAATGATCAGGGTCTTCTATACATTATCTCCTTTGAGCCAGGACACAACTTGTCACAGCTGCTACACTCATTGCTCAATGACCCATGACCTCATTTATAAAACAGGAGCCCTCTGATAAGAAAATCAGGCTTGCTTCCACTTGAGGTGTGGTACAGTTACTAAAGTAACCTGTCCTCAGTGGCATCAGCTTTGAGAAAACAAGAACCCAAACAGAAAATAACACATGGGTCTCGCCGCTTGTGTAACATTCAGACTGGTGTGTGCTCAGAACATAACATGGAACCTCTTGATTCTGTGACGTGTGACACTGTTAGGAACTGGATTTTAAATGAGACACATGTTTGTAAAACAATCGGAAAACATTTATTATACTGAAATGTATACATCCTACTATTAAAAAAACAAAGTAGCAAATTTGCTGGTGCCATAATTTAACCTGTTTCACTGGGACAGATTTAACGCTCAACACCACTCGGTGCAACTTCAAGTTTGATGAGCTTTTAATTATTTTTACCCCACTGCTAAAGCCCAATGAGGAATTCAAAATAGCACTCAGCATTAAATGACATTTATTGTTCCATATATCTCAAGACTCAAAAAGGAATGCTAAATAGACAAGCAAAACTCTAAAACAACTGAGAAGCTCACTTCTTTCCCAAGTGATTGGTACAGAAAACATGTGGTCATACTAAAGCGAAGGGAAAACGACAGAAAGCAACGCTCTCCTGCTTTGGGGTCTATAAGAGTGCCTAAGATGGAAATATTTAGAGACAGTGCTTCTTCGTATTAAAAGTCACCCCCTTTATGAATAAAACATCAAATGCCAAAGCATTTACCCACTGAAGTAGTTTATCTTCTGGGAGAGATCTGAAACTCAAAAATTCCTATTGCTGCCTGAACAAAGATAAGAATCAAATAATACATTCAAAACCAAGACACCTGGGTGGGTAAAAGGACAGAGATGCTATAATTAAAATGGAATTGAAGTTTAAAGGAAAATTGGGTGTGCTACACCACAGGCCTCAAAAATGCTTGCTTATGAATTTTGCGAATGGCTTTGGGTGAAGGGAAGTGATAAATATATAAGAAAAATTACAAAAACAGTGGATTCCCTTTGAAAAGAGTACTGGCAGACAAGCATTTGGTTTTGTGAAAGAGGCACTCTTTTTATAGAAGAAACTATTATGTGGTGTATAAAAAAGCCTTTAAATAATCACCAGAATGTTTACCCATGATTTGTACTAAAGCTCAATACTTGAGAAGTGTAAGGAATTTTCATGGTACAATTTAGTGTTTGATTTATGATGTCTAGTGTTTTAAGAATAATTTCAGCTTGATAATGAAGACCCCTTAACATCAAGTCAGAAATTATCCTTTTTCCCCTTGCTTAGGTCACCCATTTCCGATGTCTGGGGTAGGGCTTTAAAAATGTTTAAGAAAGGGATGGTGTGGGGTGGGTTGGGAAGGGCGGATGAAGACAGAGGGCTGGAGGAAAAAGAAAACCACATAATTTTAAAGGCAATGGGGCTTCAAAAATGAAAATCAGAAACAAAATGCTAAAAATGGAAGCAGAAGCAAAAAGTTTTTCAATAAATCTGTGACAAAGCAAAAACACCAAAGTCTTTGTACCTATTAGGATTTACACTGATCCTCTCACCAAGGTACTGTTGATAATGCAGCTTGCGTACAGCCCGTCTTCCGGCTTGGCTCTTCCCTGATCTGTCACGATCACATCCGATGCACTCCCTTAGACATGATTTCTTCTGAGAAGGTGCCAAGCCTCTTACCTGACCACCAGTCACCGGATCAGCACATCACAGCTCTCCGCAGACAGGTTCCACGCTGGCTCCAAACAGCACTGTCCCCAGCCCCGCCCCAAGTCAGCAGAAGGTCCAGGCAATAAAAGCCAGACTGGCACAGAAAGGTAAATGCCCACAGTACGTTTTTACATTCATTTCCAAACCGCATACAGTGTAACAAGACAGCAAAGGCTGCTTCTAGGAACTGTATTATCTGCTGGCTTCTGCCAGAGAAGCAGGCAGCCCTGCCTGCACCGTGGCCCCCAGAGCTGCACACGTGCTGCCCCGACGTGCTGCCTCTCACGAGGATGCTTGGATATGGCAGTGACAGTGAGGAAATTCACCTCTCATACAGCTCATTAGAAAGGTCATCTTGTGTTTTCAATATGAAACATTTCATACATTAAAATCCAATCCCGAGACTTCTTGGATTCAGTCTTCACACACTTTTAAGCGTGACTTTATTTGGTACTGAATATAGTTCAGACTACATAAGACATCACTTCAAAATTATGTGGATACCACCACTATTTTCAACTGCAGAAAAAGGAAAGAAGTTATAGGGTTTTTTAAGCCAGGCTTAGGAAAATCAAGACCATTAAATTGAAAACATCCAGAAATCTTGAACCTCCTATACCAGTTCAGAAGTTACCTTTAAATAATTCTACAGAAAAAAGCTGATTAACTTGCTGTAACTCCTACTAAGACTGAAGAACGAAAACTTGGCTGGTCCCCTTCCCCAACACTGTTCCCCTCTCCCAATTCCCCAATTAAAAAACAAACAAACAAATAAAAAACCATGACCCATCTACATGCTACTTGGAAGCGACTCAACTTCAAATTGAATGACACGCACAGACTGAAAGTTAAGGGATGAAAAAAGACATTCCATACAAATAAAAACAGAAAGAAAGCTGGAGTAGCAATACTTACAATAGTCAAAATAAACTTTAAAACAAAAAAATGTAAAAGAAAAAAAAAGGACATTACATAATTTAAATCCAGTCCAAGAAAAGGATATATCACCTAAATATATAAGCAAGTATTAATGGACATGCAGGGACAAATCCACAGTAATACAGTAATATCAGGGGACTTAATACCCCACTCACATCAATGGATAATCGTCATCACAGAAAATTAATAAGGAAATAATGACTTTAAATGCCACATTAGATGAGATGGACTTGAGACATTTATAGACCATTTCATCCAAAAACTGCAAAATATACATTTTTTTTCAAGTGCACATGGAAAATTCTCCAGAACACGTTAGGCCTCAAAACAAGCCTCAATAAATTCAAGATGACTGAAATCATATCAAGCATCTTTTCTAACCACAATGCCATGAAACTAGAAATCAACTATAGGAAGAAAACTCAGAAAAACAGACACGAAGAGGATAAACAACATTCTACTAAACAACCAGTGGGTCAAAGAGGAAATAAACAAGCAAAAACTATCTCGAAACAAAGGAAAATGAGAACATAACTTTTCAAAATTCATGGGATGGAGCTTTTAAAAGCAGTTCTAAGGGGCCGGCTGAGTGGCTCAGTTGGTTAAGAGCTCGCTCAAGAGTTTGAGCTCTGAGCAACAGTGGTTCGAGTCAGCCCGAGCTGAGCAGCCGTGAGCTGCCAACAGGTGGCGGGATGGCTCAGCTAAAAAAACAAACAAACAAACAAACAAACAACAAAAAAGCAGTTCTAAGGGGGAAGTTCATACTTATACAGGCCTACCTCAAGAAAAATCCCAAATAAACACTCTATTTCTACACCTAAAGAAACTAGAACAACAAACAAAACTCAAAGCCAAAATTCCTCCTTTATCTAACCCTGTCATTGGAACTCACTTGAGCCCTGTCCATGCCCCTCTTTCCACTTCTCTCACTAAATGACATAAACAATTTCCACGGCACTAATATGGGAAAGGCCTCCAAATTTACATCTCAAGCCCAGGCCTCTCCTGCCAGCCCGAGACAGGTATAACTAACTGCCAGTCTTACATTTCTATGTACCTAAAATGGAACTCTTAACTGACTTCCCCCAACCATACCTACCTCTCTACCAGCACCAGTCTGCTCAGTTGCTCTTCTAAGAGTCACAACCATTTCTCCCTCAAATGTGGTGCCCAGTAGGCATTACCTCTCACCTAGATGATGTCTCCTGCCTCCAGTTTTTCCACTTTCTCATCCGTCTCCACAGAATTGCAAGAGTGAAAGATAAATCTAATCACATTACTCCTTTGTTTAAACAGCTTCACTGACTTCCCAATACGTTTCAAATAAAACCTAAACTACCATCTTCACCAGGTCCCTCACACCACACCTGCCTCTCGCCCTGACTCCATCTTGCTTTGTTACCCCTCACACATGGCATGGCAGCTGCGTGGCCCTCTTGCCAGCCTCCAAAGCAGCCAAGGTCTTTCGTTCACACACAGCCCTACACCGCCTTGGGATGGTCCTCATATGGTCAGCTCCTTCAAGTCTCAGCATTAATGACACTTCAGAGAAGCCTTGCCCACCAGCTTCACGTCCCCCTACCCACATCCCCCTTATCCAGGAACACCGCACACTTTCCCATTCCTTCATGGCACTTCAAGTATTTGTAATTATGTGCATCTGTTGGCCAGTTCTGGTTTGCTTTCCTCACTAGAGTAGGAGCTCCATGGAATGTTTTGTTCAAGACCTTTCTAGCACCAAAAGCATGGTGTCTAACACAAGATATGTAGTAAAACGTTGGCTGAATGAACTGAAATTTTTTCCCCAGTCATCTAGGACTCCTCTTCCTTACTAGGTAACTTCTACTATAACCATTAGAAATATTCTCGATTCATTTTTCACTCTTCTTAAAATTAGTACAGTCAGCATTTTCAAAAGCAAGCACACAAGATGATGGCTGGTTATACACACACTATTTTTCATGACTCCAGCATTTCAAAGCACATGCACACATTCAAAGTACCTTTTACTGTGGAGAATAAAAAACAACTCTCATCCTGAAAGTTCTGAACCATCTAGGAGAAAGCAGAATATAATTAAGGTCCAATGGTCCCTTCTTAACTCATTAAAAAAGATTAAAATTAGTAGTTAAATGAAAATGTCATCTACATATTGCAGCACAAGCACAGGACCGAACAGCCAAAATAGTAATGCAATAGTAATGCTGTGTGAAGTAGTAATAATTTACACCTGCTGCACTGGCAGCAGTGCCTGAGGAGGATGGTCCCTGAGAGATCTATCTGGTCAACCTCCCATCTGATGACCTACTGGGTCCTGTGAGTAATGACTAACAAACAGTCACTGTATAAGTGCTCTTCTATTATTACTTGTCATGGGACATTGGGGGAAAATTGTACTTCTAACCTGTTTTTTTTTAAATTTGTCATCAACTAGTGGGCAAAAGGAAAACGCCTTCAAATGCCTCTGTAGATAAAAAGGAGCAAATGCCCCACTAACCTGGAAGTCCCCCTAGTGAGTGTCTGAATTAAAAAGGAGGCCTGGGAGGGCTGAGCCACAGTTCTTGATTTGTATTTCTTATGTCACGAGGCCACCTGAAACTCGTGGTTATAAATTCTGATCCCCAACTCTGTGAAAATGGTTCCCATGAGTACTTGCAAACAAGGTCACAGAACTGTTCTACAGTTCTACAGTGCCATATAAAAAAGTATATACCAGTGTGAATGGCAAATGCAGTTAGAATTACCTGATCACTGACAAGAATGTGAATACCAGTGGGACCCTGTCTGTAAACCTGGTTAATTTGGTGAAAAGGAATATTAAACACCAATGCAAGTTTTCGAGCGACTTCTGAGGCAACCATTTCTTCCAAGTAGATTGCATGATAAACTGAAATAAAAAAATAAGAACAACATTTTAGCAGTAATCTTTAATGTTTTCCACAGGGATCTACAGGAAGACACACCTTTCAAAATACTAAAAAATGTATATACACTGGGTGCCAAAAAAATGTATACACAGTTTAAGAAAGGACAAAACTGTATTAAAATTGTAATACTCAATATATACAAATAGCAAAAGATGAATACAGGTCCTGTATATACATCTTCTTGGCACCCCTAGTATATATAAAAAATAACTAGTATTTCTTCCCCCTACTATCCATCTGAAATATAATACATTTATGCTAAACATTAACAGTAATCTCTGTACAAAGGAATTTGAGGGTTTTTTCTTTTTTTTTTTAAAGATTTTTATTGGGGAATTGGGGGATGGGAACAGCACTGGGGAATTGGGGGAAGGGGAACAGACAAGTTGCTGTCCTTTTGTTCTTCAGTCTAGTTGTGGAGGATGTTGCTTTACTGGCCCAAGTTGGCACCATCATTGCGCTCTTCCCGGGTGAGGCAGATCAGTCGCCGGCTTCTGGACGGCCACTCACGCTGGCTGCTGGCTACACACGGTAGCCCATGGCAACCCACTGCAGCAGGGGCTGCAGCCTACGCTGTCGCCGGCAACTCATGGCAGCCCAGCTCCAAGTTGAGCTGTTGTTCAGCATCTTAGCTGTAGAGGGCAGTGTCACTGGCACTCATATGTGGGATCTGAACCGGGGCCCTCTGGCGTCCCAAGCCAGCTCTTACCCAACGCGCCATTAGGCCGGCCCAAGGTTTTAATTTTTCTTAAAAACAAACAGGAATTGACTGCAAATGGGTACAGAGGATCTTTCTGCAGCAATGGAACTAAAACTGGATTTAGTTTTGGTAATGGCTATAAAACTGTAAATTTACTAAAATATTACTGAATTGAATACTTACAATGGAAGGATTTTATGGTATATAAATTATACCCAAAGGTAGCTGTTTTCAAAAATATGTGTTTCTAGCAATATATTAAGAAAAAGAAAACTCTAAAAAGGTCATTATTTGCTTCAGTGATCCTACGACTGGAGATTTATCCTAAGGAATAAAAGCTGCCTTTCTCCCCTTCCTCTCCCCCAAAGAATTGAAAACAGTGTAAAAGAGAGCTCATGAAAAGCTACGGGTGGACAGTAACACCTGCTGCTGCGTTACAGAAAAGTCCCAGGTGCGGCCCCCCCAGTGTTCTGCGTCTCGGGAACATGTAACTTAGCAGCAGCCATGTCTGTACAGCACCAGGCACATCCCAGTGAGTCTGGGAGATCCAAGCCAGACACTGATCAGGAGTATCAGTGCTAGAACTCAGCTTTCCCAAACAAGGGTTTTTTCCTGTGCGTGTGTGTATGAATATAGAAACCTTTGCTAATTATACATTATGAGAATCTTAGAATTGGGAACTGTAATTAGGGTAAGACTTAGAGATGATCCCGAGCAGGGTCACCAAACTACAGCCTGTGTGGGCCACACCTGCCCTCCACTTGTTCTTTCAAAAAAAATGATACCAGAACATGGCCATGCCCATCACCTCCATATTGTCTGTGGTGGTCTGGGCAGCACGATGGCAGCGCTGACAGGGAAGGAGATATTTACTGCCTGGCCTCTCACAGGAACAGTCTGGTGACCCTTATCTAGTGTGTTCCACACGCTCCTCCACAAACACTCATGTTTGAGGATACATCTTGCAAAATGTCAGTCGTGACCATAGGTAAATGATACAGGAGATCTTGATACATGGAGAGCTCCTTCAGAATTTTTAGCCTCTAAGACTAAGACTTTGTATATTTAGTTTTAAAATTCACAGCTTCTGAAGTCAAAATGACACCAAATGGAAAAGCTCAAAACAGTGATGCTTTTCCTGGATTTTACAGTAAAATTCAAACGACAAAGTACTTTTCAGAGCTCTACCCAGTACTGGGGCAAATAACTGCCTCTTTGAATTCCAGAACACGTTTTCCTCTGGAAAGTGGAGTGTGCTGCCCTTATTTTGTTAGGTTTTGAGAAGAGGGAGATTGCCACACACTCAGTTCACAAATGAGAAAACATCTGCTTTAAAAAATGCTTGCTTTTTTTTTAAGGACTATATTTTAGAGGAGGGTGGGGGGCCAGGAGTTCTATCTCTCCCCTAATCCAGCACTCTATTATACAATTAAAGAGAACCAGCAGGAGGGCAGAGCCCTCTCAGTCCTCAGATGGATAATGACACGGTATGTTCACAAGGACATGGCCCCAACTCACCAGAGCTCACAGTGCTGGCAGGATGCCTAAGACAAGTCCACACACTTAGCACCAATACACAGGTGCATCTTTACACATGTGACATTTCAAGTTTTCTCCCTAGTCAGTAAAATGGATAAAAAACTGAGAAAAACCCACCTGCTTTCTTGCCAAGCTGCCAATGTTACATTCATCATTGAATCTGAGATTTCTAAAAAAGGCAGCAAAACCCCAAGGCATTCAAGCTAGTCTTTAGCTTGCTAGATATTTCTAGCCATAAAGCGCCATATGAAAAAGGAGACCCAAGTGTGGCTGAAACAACTGAGGACGTCCGCTGATGTGCCTTCTCCAGTGGACTTGGCCCTGGAGCTCACTGCTGTCAGGACCCCTGCATCAGCAGTTGGCAGCGCTAACACAAGTCCTTCAAATCCCAGTGAGGTCCGTCCCATTTCTGCCTCAGTGTCAGAAAGGGAGACGCCCTCAATACCCACCGTAGGGTGTCCCACTGCCATTCTCGCCTCCGCTGCCCGCAGCCTGCTGCCGCCCTGGCAGCAGTGTGCTGCTTGGCTGCTCCTGGCAGACGTAGATGGTTAGGCGGGGCCTAACCGACCTGCAATCAGAAGATACCACTTGTGAGCCGAAGAGAGAAAGCTGCCTTGCCACATGTACAACATGACAACTACAGGAATCTAATTTCTATTTCCTCGTGAGAACTTTACGTTATTTCATTATACAAAATAATTTACTAATAAAAATATAAAAACACACACCTCACACCAACTATCACAGGTGGTCTAATCTGATGATCCAGACTCTAAACCATTGAGATGGTCTGTCAGGTGCTGGTAAATTTAAGTTTCAAGATAAAGTCAGCAATTTAAAATCAGTAAGGTTTAATTTTAATGGAATTCTCACACAAGTCTAAGAATAGCAATGATAGTAAATGGATCTTAAAAGCCAGCACAGTTTACGGTTCTTTCATTTTTAATTTACAATTAGAAGTTGACATTTTAAATAACTTTTCAGTAGTAGTCACATGACCTTGAAAACCATAGATTCTGTAGAGCTCACCTAAACGAGAAGTTTGTTTTCTTGGCAACAACCCCAGTCGTCTTCAAGAACTCAGTACTGCCCATGTGCATGTCTACCAGTCTTACAGTCTACCTCTGCCCTCATCAGTGCCTGCATCATATCTGGGCCTGCCCTGAGGGTGTACACAAAACAGTCTTCTTGTGAGCACGACGCTGCCAGTGCTGCCCAGCGCACGCAGGCACACGCCAACCTAGCGTGGAAATACATTCTGCCCAAATTCCCCACAGAAACAAAGGGGCAGTCTGATTTCAAGCAAAACAGTTCCTTTTAAACACAGTATTTTACCTTGACTTCAGTGAATTATAGAGCCGAATTCCATCGGCTGCACCACAAATTTGTACTAAATCCTCCTTTGTCAGTTTTAATAAGTCGGCACCTGGAGAACAGCAAAGAGAGATTCTTCTAAGAAGTGGGAAAAGAACTCGCAGGACTGGCTGCTTTACAACACCTGACTCCACACAGTTCAATGTCCTTCAAAAGCATCACAGGCCTCCTGTGTATACACATACATGAACAACACACACACAGCCCTTTCTCTCAGAGCCGAAGAAAATGCTTGGTCTTGCATGTCCTGTATCAGAATGAAGCTTAGGAGCCCAAAGGCTGGTAAATGAGATCACCGAGCGGGGCCTACAGGGTTCTGTTCCAACAGACAATTTCACTGCCTGCATTATCCTGGCTGTGCTATGGCTGTGTGGATAAGTAGACTTCTGACCCCAGCTAATTTACCGTGAGATCACCCAGACCAACCTTTTATTTTACAGAAAGAAGGGAGGTCCAGAGGTTTTGGGGACTTTGAGTTGGTAGAACTAAACCTCTTTTCAACAACATGCAATGTAAGGTCAAACATTCTGTGGAACGTAACTCGGTCACAGCAGCCAGTTTTAATACAAAAGCACAGCAGAGAATTGCATATTATACCTTAAGATTTCCCCCATAAATGCTTGGTAAGTGCAAATGACATGGTATGTGGGATTTACTGTAAGATACAACAGAAAGGGGGGCGGGAGTGGTAGAGAGGACGACTGACCCAAGGCTGGGCGCACTGAAGCTGGGGGTGGTCACATGGGAGTTCATCATACTCCTCCCCACTTTTTATGTTTGAATGAGTCCACAATCTTTTGTTTTACCCTCTTGTCAACACCCAAGATGTAGTTTACTGTGAAAATGGAGATGCCCTCTGAGATTAAGGCATAACTTCCATATGATAATCTAAAAAGGTAACAAGATAAAGGGGTTATCTTTCTATTTTTTGAGGGCTTATGAGAGCTTAATAACTTTGTAGTTTGTAAAAGGAAGACGAGACAAGCAAACAGCCCGGGAGGCAGGCGCAGCTGAACGACGACAGGCTCGCTCTAATCGCTCTCCAGGGGCGGGAAACGTGCCTCTGGAAACAGGGCTCCCGGGGTAACCAGGGACCTGCGTGGGCATAGCCTTCAGCCCTCCAGAGACTTGGACAGATACTCTGTGTACAACCCTTTCTGGAAGGCGATGCCCAAGAGGCTCAGGGCACGAAGCCGCACTCTCGTCCTCCCCATTCTATGGTTGGGAAGCCACAGGGTAAAGGCAAGAGACCAAGTCATGTGATCACAGGTCACAGTGAAAAGTGCTTAGAATTCTCTAGATGGAAACATGTATCCGTCTAATATAAGAGGCATAACCTGGGATCTCTCTCTGTTCCGACTGTCAGAGTTTTGTGTATGCATTTATACTCATCCGCCTTCCTTATGAGGGCTCAAAAGCATTCCCCCCACCAACATACTGAAATTTTTAAATTTTCAGTTTTTCACAGATAAGAGGTTTTATTTAATCATACAGAAATGTGGCTGGTAGCACATGACTTTCATCCAGCACTTTCATTTTAAAGAGACGAAGAGCTACATGGGGAATGACTAATCATCGCACCAACACGGCAACAAATGGCTGACATAATAGGAAACTATGCTGTTTCTGCAATCAAGCTTTCCTCTAGGCCGAGCATGTGCACACACATGTTCTGTCCTCTGAGAAGGCTCAAGCTGCATTTTCATGCCCCACAGCACTGTGGCAAAGGACAGGTGACTGCCACCTTGCCGTGGGCCAGCAGTTCTCAGGACATGTTTGAGCAGGACATGTCAGTAAGTGTTCTGCAGGAAAAGGGTCCCAGGGCCAAAGACGTTTGGGAAATGCTGCCCCTCCCCACCTGGTGTATCTATTACTGTTCCTCTAAACAGGTTTCCTATTGCACCACCTGGAGAAGCACTGTTTAGTCCCTTTTAAAATTCCATCTAAATACTCTCTTGGCTCCCTATGCAAGAAAAAGCTTACACTTAAGTATTACAAAAACCATACCCGAGTACATTGATACCATGTAATACTTTACAGCAATAAAGAGGAACAAACTATTGCTACAACTTGGATAGACACAAGGGCATTAGGCTGAGTGAAAAAAAGCCAATCTCAAAAGGTCACATACTGTATGATTCCATTTATATAACGTTCTTGAAATGACAAAATCATAGAGAGACCAGATTAATGGTTGCCAGCGAGTAGGGATGGTGGCTGGGGGGCAGGGAGTAGGCATAAGGGAAATCCTTGTGGGATGGTGTAATTCTGTATCTTAACTTCGGTAGTGGTTATAGGGATCTAGATATGTGATAAAATGACAGAACTATATTCATGCATTGCACCAATGTCAATTTCCTGGTTTTGATACTGTACTATAATTATGTGAGTGAAGGGTACCCTGGAACATCTCTGTATTATCTTTGTAACAAACTGTAAAGTGAAAATCATTTCAAAATAAAGTTAATAAAATGAAAAAAATTGCATAGAACTATCTACGCCTATACAAAGATGAGGGCACACAGAACTGGTGAAGCAGTAGATTGTGCCCATGGTGTTTCCTGATTTTGATAGTGTAAAATAGGCATGAAGATGGTACTACCCCTGGGGGAACTGGCTGATATGTACCTGTCTCGACAACTTCTTATGAATCTGTAATTACTTCAAAAATCTAAGAAAATAAGGTTAATGAAAGTAGAGACAAACAAGTAAACGAAACACGTGTGTGTACACACACACACACACACACACACACACACACACACACACACATACACACATACCTGAAAAATTGGAAAACAGTCTTGTATAGGAAGAGAATCTGTTTTTGAGCAGCCACTGTTGTGTTTCCTGGGTGGTGGCTGATGGCTGAAGTTGCTATTTACAAAGAAAATGAACATAAATAGAAGAAGCTATTCAAACATACAAAAAAATAACCCAAATCACTGGCATGTTATGAAGAAAAAAAACCACACTGAAACAAAACACAGAAATCCTCCAAGTCTGAAGTAAAGAAACACCCAAGAGACCACAGGTCTGACTACTCAGTGACCCAACAATGACTCAAGCCCCTGTCGGAGCCTTAAAAATGCAGGATCCTGAAGCATCTGACAGTTTTAGGAACAAGATACTTACTTCACTAGAGGTCTGTGAAACTCCATCTCCCTGATGATTTGGGGAAGAAGAATTGCTGGGGAGAAGGGAGAAAAGAAAGATTTTATATGTATTTAAAATATCAAGGCATTAAAGGCTATATAGATAAATTTAAAATAATGCTGGGGCACGCCGGTTGGGAACCCTTCTCGTTTTGAGAGCTGTAACTTTCTGCTCTAATAAAACTATCCTTTGCTACACACTTTAAAACAAATAAATAAATAATACTATGTGACAGAGCAATGTAAATTTGCAGTAAGAATGCTGGCACAGGGCTGAACGAGTGGCTCATTAGTTAAGAGCTGGCTTGGGACGCCAGAGGGCCCCGGTTCGGATCCCACATATGAGGGCCAGTGACACTGCCCTCCACAGCTAAGATGCTGAACAACAGCT